TCGTTGAACGACTCGGTGTCCCACACGAAAAGAAGAAGAAGAAGAAGAAGACATCTTGCTCAAATGTCATGTACTTGTAATATGAAAAAGACGCAAACAATAATGTTGCCATTTCTGGTCCTCTTATGTGAACCAGGTAGTAGCAAGGAAGTCAAGGTTCCCCCATGGAACATGGGTCGAAATATGAACAAAATATTTTGGGCCTTCTATACAATTTGCCGATAAGCTGATTGATTTACTATGAGAGGACCAATCTTTTTCATATTTCGGCCCCATACAGATATAGGTGTTCAGCTACCTTGACCTCCTTTTGGCATTATTTGCTGTTATTATGCGAGGAACTGTCACCGCTGTGGGCGTTCCGCGCATTGTTCGCGGAACTAGCGCCGCGGCTGCAGCACTGCGCCGCGCCAGAGCTGCACCAGCTGATGGAGCTGCCGGCTGTTAAAAAGGTAAGTAAAGGACTAGATTTTGACAGCTGTCAAATATGGCATAACCGAAGTACGTGCCAGCGAGGATCAATACTGAGAGTAACAAAATATAACAAGTCGAAAGGAAGTGATAGTTTTTATGAAACCGAACCACTTTCCCCATGGAATGGAACATGGGTCGAAATATGAAAAAAAAATGTACCTCCCATACAAAATGTACCAGCCGACCGAGTCAATTTGTATGGGAGGTTCAAATTTTTTTTTTTACTTATGTTTCATGGGGAAAGTTGCTCAGTTTTATGAGTACCTTGACATTCTTTCGGCTTTAGGTATTTGTTGTACTATAACACGTTGTATACTATGAACTGAATAGAATAGAACTGAGTGAGGAACTGTCGCCGCTGTGGGCGTTCCGCGCATTGTTCGCGGAACTAGCGCCGCGGCTGCAGCACTGCGCCGCGCCAGAGCTGCACCAGCTGATGGAGCTGCCGGCTGTAAAAAAAGTAAGTAAAATACCCTACAGTACCAGCTGTTAAGAAAGTAAGTAAAGTACCCTACAGTACGGCCGTTCGAATTGACCATATTTGACTGCTGTAAAAATCATGTTAATGCCATGACATAAGGTCTATTTTTGACAACTGACAAAATGGACTATTCAAACGGCCGTGCTTTAGTGTTAGGTCGGAGCGCTGCTCATTATCGGAAATAAGAAAAAGGGTTTATCAAGCTGAAAGGAGGTCAAGGTTCTTATGAAACTGAAGAACTTTCCCCGGGGAACATGGGTCGAAATATAAAAATATGGCATACGTTGCTCTCATACAATTTGCCGATGAGCTGAAACGTATGTTCCATGGAGAAAGTTGTTCAGTTACATGAGTACCTTGACCTTCTTCCAGCTTGTTATACCCATTTTGTTACTCCCTGTATAATAAGTGAACGAATACAAGAGGTTGTGTGAGGAACTGTCACCGCTGTGGGCGTTCCGCGCGCTGTTCGCGGAACTAGCGCCGCGGCTGCAGCACTGCGCCGCGCCAGAGCTGCACCAGCTGATGGAGCTGCCGGCTGTCAAAAAAGTAAGTACAAAGAATAGGTCCCGACTTGGCAACATTATTGTTGACATCCTGCTTACAAGTCATATAATAATAGAGAGACAAACAATAATGTTGATGATGTGGTAATTATTGGTGATTTCAACTTACGCACAATAGCGTGGAATCCCATCCAAGATTGTTCTTATACTACCCCATCTAATTACCACACTCCTCTTGGTTATAATCTTATAGATTTTATGTCAGCAAACAATTTACAGCAATACAACAGTTTTAAAAATTCTGATGATAACATATTAGACCTTGTTTTATGTAACTTCACTACGGCAAACGTGACGAGACCTTTAGAGTTGTTGTCTAAACTCGACTCATACCATCCTAATCTGCTCCTTACAATAACATTTCCTTGTATGTCATTACTTAAACCTAAGCCTCGTGAGGACTATAATTATTTTAAGGCTGATTACGATGGTATTATCAGTGATTTAAAAGAAGTTCCTTGGCAAGAATTGTTTAAAAACAAATCTCCTAATGAAATGGTTGCAGCATTTTATGAATCTTTACATACAACTATTTCCAAACATGTACCTAAACGCAAAGTAAAAAAATCGAAGTATCCTCCTTGGTTTAACAATAAACTTATAAAATTACTAAACGAAAAAAATAAAATTCGGACTAGATATAAAAAATTTGGGAACCCTAGAGATCACGTTGAGTTCGATATTCTTCGCGATAGATGCCACTCTTTACATGACCAATGTCTAGCTAATTATAAAAACAACATAGAGGAAAATATCATTGAAAATCCTAAGGCATTTTGGCGATACATGAAAGACAAAAAGAAGGGTAACTCAACTCTACCGGACAAAATGTATAATAAAAATAATTCTTCTGCGACTACTGGCCCTGAAATAGCTGACCTTTTTGCCTCACACTTTTCTTCAGTATACTCTGTTAATAACAACAATTTGCCACCCAATGAGATACAAAATTCATCAGACACAAGTCTCAATAAAATATTTATTACTGAGAAAGATATTCTTAAGAAAATGAAGCTGATTAATATCACCAAAGGCAGTGGCCCTGACGGAATACATCCTTACTTTATTAAGCGTTGTGGTTCTGCTCTTACTCTACCCCTTTATCTTATATTTAACAAATCACTGGATGACGGCGTGTTCCCTGATGTCTGGAAGGAAGCTAAAATTGTTCCAATTTATAAGAAAGGTGATACTAGTTTTGTCGAAAATTACAGACCAATTTCAATTCTTTCCTGTATAGCTAAACTCTTCGAATCCATAGTCACCCCTACCATCTCGCAACAGATTCATCGTAGTATTTCAAAGCATCAACACGGATTTATTGGCGGGCGGTCGGTACAAACCAACTTAGTGCCCTACATATCTGACATATGTAATGCAATTGACAATGGCAATGAAGTGCATGCAATATACACTGACTTCAAAAGCGCCTTCGATAAAGTAGACCATCTGTTACTTCTCAATAAATTAAGGGCATCAGGCATCTGTGGTTCCCTTTTAAACTGGCTAAAATCATACTTAGAATATAGAACGCAAATAGTTGCCACCAATGGTTATAAATCACATACATACTACTCTACTTCCGGGGTTCCGCAAGGATCCCATCTTGCGCCTGTCTTATTTTTGTTATTTATCAACGATATTAGTTCTGTTATTTTTCACTCTAAATTTTCCCTTTTTGCCGATGACTTAAAACTTTATATAACTGCTTCACCAACAGCATGCGAACTACTACAATCTGATCTCAACAGAATCTGGCACTGGTGCGAAAATAACAATATGATGCTAAATGTAAATAAATGCTTTCAAATTAAGTTTTCTAGAAAAAAATATCCCATTGCCTATACTTACAAACTAAATGGAGAACCACTAGAAGAGGTCAGTCAAATTCGGGATCTCGGTGTGATCTTAGATAGCAAAATAAACTTTAATTCCCACATAGACACAATCGTAAAGAAATCGCATCAAATGCTCGGATTCTTAAAACGAAATACCAGATCGTTCAAGCAGAAAAAAACAAAAATTATTCTCTTTAATGCTCTAGTTCGTAGCCACCTAGAATATGCCAGTACGATATGGAATCCAATTTACACTGACCCATCCCAACGCATCGAGACTATTCAGCGAACTTTCACCAGACACCTTGCTTTCCACTCTACCGGTATATCCCATCGTTGCCCTTATTCTAAAAGATTAAGCTTCTTTAAACTAAACACTTTAAAACATCGTCGAACTATGCATGACCTAATATTCCTGTATAAATCAATTAATAATCATATTGACTCTATAGACATTGTTAACAGAATATCAATAGCTGTACCATTTAAATACCCACGAAATCCCATCAAGAAAATATTTCATATACCCTTCTGCCGAACAAATACAGGCCTAAATGCACCAAGTGTGAGGATATGTCGACTATTTAACGAGATTAGCACAAAAAATCCGAATATCGATATATTTAATGATACCCTGTCAAAGTTTAAAGCCAAAATTAAAATGCTGGAACTGAAAGATGATCTCACTAGTATTAAGTAAATATCTTTGTAATTCTGTTATTTTAATATTTAAGTACCTAATGTTGCTCACTTGATATTTTATATGAATGATGTGTTTGTCTATAACTGTCTAATATATAAGAACTGGATTTATTACTGTAAGACACTGCTGATGTATGAATATATTAGATGTTGATAAACCAATAAACGATAAATAAATAAATAATGTTGCCAATTCGGGATCTACACTTTATCTGCGAAATTAGTATTATACCTAATCGTAGATAAACGTGTATCCTTACTTCTTTTCTACAATTTCTGGCGCATTTCTTCCAAAGCACAGTTTGAATCCCATATCCATGCTTTGCATTATTGGTAATAAATAATCATCTTCAAAGATAAGTTTTGACCGGCATCTATTTTAATTATTTGGCAATAGATTACGATGTGTTTTATTTATTCGTTCATTTTATACTTGTTTTTTTCTCAGGCTCGAGCTGTTCAACTAATGCGTGCTGGCTACAAACGCATTGAAGACCTGGCGAAGGCGTCCGTAGACGACTTGGTGTCAAATGTGACGCATCTCTCCCGCTCTGCTGCCACACACCTCGTCAGCGCCGCGAGGGTAAGTGCCTCAACACAACACGCTACGACCGAAATTACGCGACGGAATTCGGCGCAATTACGCAGTAATGTCTGACGGAACGGAATTCAGCCGCCGAATTTCGGTCGTAGAGGGCCTTACCACAAAAAAGTTAGACCAGTGTCGAACGCGTGTTTAAAATAAAACTTCATACAAAAAACGCTAGACACGCGTTCAACGCTGGTCTAACTTTTTTGTGGTAAGGCCCAGAGTGTTAACACACTAAGACATAAAGATTCAACACCTTTTATGACACTTCACGTGTCAGATATACATTGGAGACACACGTGTCGCTTGGAGACGAGCATCAAGAGATAGAAAGGCATTCAACAACCGGTGCATGGATAGCTCAGAGGGCAGAGCGGTGGGGCGTTTACTCATGCGACTCGGGTTCGATCCCCGGTCGATGCATGCCATTTTTTCTATAAGTGCATTAAAATCCCAATAGATAGACATACATTTTTCGGAAAACTAGCAAAATTTTCTGCCGCAGGCAGGATTTGAACCTGCGCCCAAAATACCTGGCGACCTGCACATAAAGATTCAGTGACCTCGTATCGTATTTATTGATATGTAGGCCAATATTTTACCGATAGAAGTGATGCTCGCCTATATGAAGGGACTTTAAATGATAATAATGAATTTAATTAATTTGCGCCACCTACAGATAACTAAAGGAACTAACTGAGACATTGGTTTGGTCATCATCGCCCTACTTTTTCTTGTCAGTGGAAACGCAGCAGCTAAGCATTTTTTTCTTTCAGATGATGTTGATAGAAAAAGTGGAGAACCTTCGAGCTGAAGCAGAGATCGTAATGGAAGAACTTAACTTTTGAACTGTACAAGACTGATTATTAGTATTTTGCGATAAGCTGCTGTGATCCAGTGATATTGATCAACTTTCCTATAATGTACTAATAAGATTTTATTACAAAAAAAAACGTGGTAACGCTCACGTTAAAGATGCATTTACGTAGATTTATTTTAATAATTAGAAAGAGATGAATAATATAATAATTTAATTTACGATATCAAAGGTACTTAATAATTAATTATTATTAATTAATATAATATAATTAATATACTAAATCTTGTTAATTAAAGGTTGTTGTTTTGAATATTTTTGTTTCATTCTTTTAAACCCTCAAGTGCCTTCTCAGGTTTCCCTTTATCCACATAAAAATCCTCATTTTTTATGATTTGTGTGCAGATTTAAAATCTGTTTATTACATGACATGAAATAAAACAACTAAATGTATGTAACTCTATCATTAGTTATTTATTCATCTCCTCTTATAGATACACGGCTTGAGACTCAGCTGTGGCAGTTTGCTCTTCTTAACCGGGGGCTCCTTGGTCTTCACGAAATGCATGAAGAAGAACACGGAATGTTGCTTGTCCAGGTTCTTGAGTTTGAACCCGAGACGCTCCACTTCTTTGACGAAACTGTTCGCGTCGTCAAAACGGCTCTCTACTTCAGCTATAAGTAGTTGTCCCCTGGGGAAGAGAGCTGTGGTTCGTACATAGAAATCGTATATCATATTATATATTATATTTTGGGTCTAGGGTTGTAACAAAACTTTAATGAGTCAAAAATGCCCCACGAAACAGCCAATACTTTAATCTACGATAAATTGTATGCGATCTGTCGGAAATATTTACGATGCGTTGCAAATTCGCAGTTATGTGAGCCCTTAATATGAAAGATTTGGGGTAAAAAGAGCCTATATTCAGCAGAGCGTAGATTTGAAGTGATATACTTAGAAATAAAGTTCTGCACCGCGGTTCTGCGGGAAAAATGGTTTCCTATTCATTGTTTCACCTGCAAAAGGTAATAAATGAATAACTTTTCTGAAAAAAAATAATGTCTCACCCAGTTTTGAGTACTCTATTAGCCTCCAGCAAGTACTGCGTCAGCTCCGTGCCCATCAGCGCCAGGCAGTACACGACCACATCCATAGACTCCCTCAGCAACGGCGTCCGAGCCATGTCGCACTCCACCACGCCCGGGGCTGAGGCCACCAGCTCGAAGGGTAGGTAATAAATGAATACATTCTGAATCACCCAGTGTAGTTTCTGACTCACCCAGTTTTAGTTCCTGACTCACCCAGTTTTAGTTTCAGACTCATTCAGTTTTAGTTTCTGACTCACCCAGTTTTAGTTTCTAACTTTCCCAGTTTTAGTTTCTGACTCACCCAGTTTTAGTTTCTGACTCACCCAGTTCTCGTTCCTGACTCACCCAGTTTTAGTTTCTGACAAATTCTGACTCACCCAGTTTTAGTTTATGACTCACGCAGTTTTAGTTTCTGACTCACCTTGTTTTGGTTTCTAGCTCACCCAGTTTTAGTTACTGACACACCCAGTTTTAGTTTCTGACTCACCCAGTTTTGAGTACTCTATTAGCCTCCAGCAAGTACTGCGTCAGCTCCGTGCCCATCAGCGCCAGGCAGTACACGACCACATCCATAGACTCCCTCAGCAACGGCGTCCGAGCCATGTCGCACTCCACCACGCCCGGGGCTGAGGCCACCAGGTCGAAGGGTAGGTAATAAATGAATAAGTTTCTGTATCATCCAGTTTTAGTTTCTGACTCGCCCAGTTTTAGTTACTGACTCACCCAGTTTTAGTTACTGACTCACCCAGTTTTAGTTACTGACTCACCTAGTTTTTATTTCTGACTAACACAGTTTTAGTTACTGACTCACCCAGTTTTAGTTTCTGACTCACCTAGTTTGTTTTTGACTCACCCAGTTTTAGTTTCTGACTCACGCTGGTTTAATTTCTGACTCACCCAGTTTAAGTTTCTGACTCACCTAGTTTTAATTTCTAACTCACCCAGTTTTAGTTTCTGACATACCCAGTTTTAGTTTCTGACTCACCCAGTTCTAGTTTCTGACTCACCCAGTTTTAGTTTCTGACTCACGGAGTTTTAGTTTCTGACTCACCCAGTTTTAGTTTCTGTCTCACTCAGTTTTAGTTGTGACTCACCCAGTTTTAGTTTCTTACTTACCCAGTTTTAGTTTCTGACTCACTCAGTTTTAGTTTTTGACTCACCCACTTTTAGTTTCTGCCTCACCCAGTTTTAGTTTTTGTCTCACCTAGTTTTATCTTCTGACTCACCTAGTTTTAGTTTCTGTCCCACCCCTTTTTGAATTTCTGACGCATCCAGTTATAGTTTCTGACTCACCCTGTTTTAGTTTCTGACTCACCCAGTTTTAGTTTCTGGTAGGTAAAAATAATTAATAACCTTCTGAAAAAATAATTTGACTTACCCAGTTTTGAGTACTCTATTAGCCTCCAGCAAGTACTGCGTCAGCTCCGTGCCCATCAGCGCCAGGCAGTACACGACCACATCCATAGACTCCCTCAGCAACGGCGTCCGAGCCATGTCGCACTCCACCACGCCCGGAGCTCAGGCTACCAGGTCGAAGGGTAGGTAATAAATGAATAAAATTCTGACTCACCTAGTAATTCTGACTTACATAGTTTGAGTTCGCGACTCACGCAGTTTAAGTTTCTGACTCACCCAGTTTAAGTTTCTGACTCACCCAGTTTTAGTTTTTGACTCACCCAGTTTTAGTTTCTGACTTATCTAGATTTAGTTTCTAACTTACCCAGTTTTAGCTACTGACTCACCCAGTTTTAGTTTCACACTCACCCAGTTTTAGATTCTGACTCACACAGTTTTAGTTTCTTACTCACCCAGTTTTAGCTTCTGACTCACCCAGTTTTAGCTTCTGACTCACCCAGTATTAGCTTCTGACTCAACTAGTTTTAGTTTCAGACAAACTCAGTTTCAGTTTCTGACTCGCCCAGTTTAAGTTTTAGATTCACCCAGTTTTAGTTCCTGACTCACCCAGTTTTGAGTACTCTATTAGCCTCCAGCAAGTACTGCGTCAGCTCCGTGCCCATCAGCGCCAGGCAGTACACGACCACATCCATAGACTCCCTCAGCAACGGCGTCCGAGCCATGTCGCACTCCACCACGCCCGGGGCTGAGGCAACCAGGTCGAAGGGTAAGTAATAAATAAATACATTTCTGCCTGGCCCAGTTATAGTTTCTGACTCACCCAGTTCTGTTTTCGACTCACCCAGTTTTTGATTCTGTATCATCCAGTTTCAGTTTCTGACTCACTCAGTTTTAGTTTCTGACTCACTCAGTTTTAGTTTCTGACTCACTCGTTTTTAGTTTCTGACTCCAACAGTTAGTTTCTGACTCACCCAGTTTTAGTTTCTGACTCACCCAGTTTTAGTTACTGACACACCCAGTTTTAGTTCTGACTCACCCAGTTTTAGTTTCTGACTTACCCAGTTTTAGTTTCTCACTTACCCAGTTTTAGTTTCGACTCACCTGGTTCTAGTTTCTGTTTCATCCAGTTTTAGTTCCTGACTCACCCAGTTTTGGTTTCTGACTCACACAGTTCAGTTTCTGACTCACACAGTTCAGTTTCTGACTCACCCAGTTTTAGTTTCTGACTCACACAGTTCAGTTTCTGACTCACCCAGTTTTAGTTTCTGACTTATCCAGTTTTGGTTTCTGACTCACCCAGTTTTAGTTTTTGACTCATCCAGTTTTAGTTTCTGACTCACCCAGTTTTAAGTACTCTATTAGCCTCCAGCAAGTATTGCGTCAGCTCCGTGCCCATCAGCGCCAGGCAGTACACGACCACATCCATAGACTCCCTCAGCAACGGCGTCCGAGCCATGTCGCACTCCACCACGCCCGGGCTGAGGCCACCAGGTCGAAGGGTAGGTAATAAATGAATAAATTGTTGACTGACTCAGTTTTAGTTTCTGACTCTCCCAGTTTTAGTATCTGACTCACCCAGTTTCCGTTTCTGACTCACCCAGTTTTAGTTTCTGGCTCACCCAGTTTTAGTTTCTGACTCACCCAGTTTTAGTTGCTGACTCACCCAGTTTTAGTTTCTGACTTACCTAGTTTTAGTTTCTGACTCTCCCAGTTTTAGTTTCTGACTCACCCAGTTTTAGTTTATGACTCACACAGTTTTAGTTCCTGACTCACCTAATTTTAGTGTCTGACTCACCCAGTTTTAGTTTCTGACTCACCCAGTTTTGAGTACTCTATTAGCCTCCAGCAAGTACTGCGTCAGCTCCGTGCCCATCAGCGCCAGGCAGTACACGACCACATCCATAGACTCCCTCAGCAACGGCGTCCGAGTCATGTCGCACTCCACCACGCCCGGGGCTGAGGCTACCAGGTCGAAGGGTAGGTAATAAATGAACAAAAATCTAACTCACCCAGATTTAGTTTCTGACTCACCCGGTTTTGGTTTATGAGTCACCCAGTTTTAGTTTCTGACTCGCCCAGTTTTAGTTTCTGCCTCGCCCAGTTTTAGTTTATGACTCAACCTGTTTTAGTTTTTGACTCACCCAGTTTTGAGTACTCTGTT